GCGCCGCAGCTGCAGTACGCGCAGCAGCCAGCGCGGCAGGCCCGCCCTCTCTCTGCTCCACCTCCCCCTCCTCCTCCTCCTCCTCCTCCTCTCTGCTCCACCTCCTCCTCCTCCTCCTCCTCCTCTCTGCTCCACCTCTCTCTGCTCCACCTCCTCCTCCTCCTCCTCCTCCTGTGTCGTAAGATTTCGTGTCAGGCCCCTGCTCGCCCCTGCCCCTTCCTCCCTGCCCTTCCCGACGGTGTTTATCCACACGTTCCGCCGACGCTCGAACATCGGTCTTTTTGCTGTCGCTTCCGCTCGCTGCTCGTGCACCGACTGTGCTCTGCAAAGATGTGCCATACCACATTTAGCACGTGCGCAAGTTGGATGGGGCTGCGGGTCTGGCCAGCCACCACTGTGGGCATGGCGCGAGCCAGGCAGAGAGCCCTCAAGATCGAGCGTTGCCCTCGCCAGTCTCCACACATTGTTCGTTTCTAGTTCTTCGAAAGCTCTTTTTTTTCTGGTGCCACGATCCTTTCATTTCTAATTCTTCTATCCTGGGCCTCTTCCTGGCCACTAGGGGACCAGGAACAATTCGAAATGAGCACGATTAGAAATGAACGCCGTGTACCTCACCCAGGCTCAGGGGACTTGGCATCACCTTGGTGAGGTCCCTCCTGCTGCTCCTCCTTCCGTAGCCATTTTGGCTCAAGCAAACCTGGCTCAGAACTCCAGGGGAGCGCAGGTGTCAGATTGCGATTCGCTGCGTCTGAATCCCAGGTTCCAAAGATTCGATGAACGCCATGGCCCACACCTTGCAGCAGGCCCTGAAGATCGAGAAGTCTACGCCAGAGCAGCAGCAGGAATTCCTGCGGTCCCTCAAATGCGAGGTATCCTGCGAGGCGGAGCACGTGATTCCGGAGCCTGGCGCTGCACCTCCAGACCCGTGCAGGAGGGAGGGGTCCATCGAGACCAGCAAGATCGCGGAGATGATCATCGCAGGGAAGACGCCGACGCCGTCCGAGGTGCTCGCGTACTTCAACGGGCAGCTGAAGGAGCGCATCTGCTTCCTGGATGGCGGCATGGGCACGCGCATCCAGGCGGAGAACCTGCAGGAGGAGGACTACCGGGGAGAGCGCTTCAAGGATTGGAGCGCGATCGATGCGAACGGCGTGCCAGTGTCTCTGAAGGGCAACAACGACCTGCTGATATTGAGCAAGCCCGACATGATCAAGGACATCCACGCCGAGTACTTCAGGGGCGGCTCGGACATCTGCGAGACCAACACCTTTAACGGCACTGCGATTTCCCAGGGCGAGTACAAGATGCAGGAAGTCGTGTACGAGGTGAACAAGGTAGGAGCGGAGCTCGCCAAGAAGGCTGCCGCCGAGGTGACGAAGGACGAGCCGCACAAGCCTCGCTTCGTGGCTGGTGCCATCGGTCCCACGAGCCGCACACTGTCGGTGTCTCCAAGCGTCGAGGACCCGTCATTCCGCAACGTGACCTGGGACGAGCTGGTCGACAGCTACAAGGACCAGGTCAAGGGGCTGGTTGACGGAGGCGTCGACCTCTTGATGATCGAAACAATTTTCGACACCCAGAACTCGAAGGCAGCGATCTTCGCAGTCGACGAGTATTTCTTAGAGTCGGGCAAGGAGCGCCTGCCAGTTATGCTTAGTGCCACCATCGTGGACAACAGTGGCCGCACGCTGTCGGGCCAGACGATCGAGGCATTCTACGTGAGCGTCAAGCATGCCAAAGCGTTCACCGTAGGCATCAACTGTGCCCTTGGGGCTGCGCAGATGAAGAAATTCTACAATATGCTCACGGACATGAACACTGGTTGGTGCCATGTCTACCCGAACGCAGGCCTTCCTAACGCCATGGGCGGCTACGATGAGGATCCGGAAATCTTCTCCACGAACGTGTACGACTACGCTAAAGATGGCTTGTTGAACTTCGTTGGTGGATGCTGCGGCACGTTCCCATCGCACATTGCTGCGGTAGTCAAGAAAGTGAAGGACTGCCCACCAAGGAAGCTTCCCGACCTGCCGAAGTACCCATGCATGCAGCTGTCAGGGCTGGAGCCGTGCATCCTGAAGGAGGACAGCGGCTTTCAGTGGGTCGGAGAGCGGTGCAATCTGATGGGCTCTGCCAAGTTCAAGAAGCTGGTCGACGCCTACAAGTGGGACGAAGCTATGGAGGTCTGCCTGGCGCAGTGCGAGAAGAAGGCAGACATTTTGGACTTCAACTTTGACTCAGACTTGATCGACGGTCAGTCCGCGATGGGTAAGTTCATGCGTCTTTGCGTCACCGAGCCCAATGTGGCCAGGTTGCCGTTCATGATCGACTCTTCCAAATGGCCAGTGATCGAGGAGGGGCTGAAGTGTGTCCAAGGCAAGAGCATTGTTAACTCTATCTCCTTGAAGGTCGGCGAAGAGGAGTTCCTGAGGCAGGCGAAGCTTTGCATGCGCTATGGCGCAGCCGTGGTCGTCATGGCTTTCGACGAGCAGGGCCAGGCAGCCACGCTTGAGGACAAGGTGCGCATTTGCCAACGCAGTTACAAGCTGATGCGTACTAAAATCGATTTCCCACCTGAGGACATCATCTTCGACTGCAATGTGCTCACGATCGCCACAGGACTGCCGGAACATAACTCGTACGGCATCGACTTCATCAACGCAGTCGCTGAGCTTAAGCGAACCTGCCCGTGCATTTCGTTCAGCGGTGGCCTGAGCAATCTTTCGTTCTCGTTCCGCGGCCTCAACTCAGTTCGCGACGCGATGCATTCCGTTTTTTTGTACCACGCGGTCCCGAAGGGCTTGAACATGTCCATCGTGAACCCAGGCGGCCTTCCGCGGTACACGGACATCGACGAGAACACGCGGAAGCTGTGCGAGGAGGTGATTCTGAACAATTCGGCGGACGGGCAGCATGTGGAGCGTTTCCTCGAGTTCGCTGAGAGAGTGAAGAACCCCCCGGCGGCACCGGCGCCAGTCGCAGCCGCGCCACCAATCAAGATTGACAAGTCCACGCCCGAGCAGCAGCAGAGCTTCCTGAAGTCGCTCAAGTGCGAGGTGTCCTGCGAGGCGGAGCACGTGATTCCGAAGTCTGGCGCTGCACCTCCAGACCCGTGCAGGAGGGAGGGGTCCATCGAGACCAGCAAGATCGCGGAGATGATCATCGCAGGGAAGACGCCGACGCCGTCCGAGGTGCTCGCGTACTTCAACGGGCAGCTGAAGGAGCGCATCTGCTTCCTGGATGGCGGCATGGGCACGCGCATCCAGGCGGAGAACCTGCAGGAGGAGGACTACCGGGGAGAGCGCTTCAAGGATTGGAGCGCGATCGATGCGAACGGCGTGCCAGTGTCTCTGAAGGGCAACAACGACCTGCTGATTTTGAGCAAGCCCGACATGATCAAGGACATCCACGCCGAGTACTTCAGGGGCGGCTCGGACATCTGCGAGACCAACACCTTTAACGGCACTGCGATTTCCCAGGGCGAGTACAAGATGCAGGAAGTCGTGTACGAGGTGAACAAGGTAGGAGCGGAGCTCGCCAAGAAGGCTGCCGCCGAGGTGACGAAGGACGAGCCGCACAAGCCTCGCTTCGTGGCTGGTGCCATCGGTCCCACGAGCCGCACACTGTCGGTGTCTCCAAGCGTCGAGGACCCGTCGTTCCGCAACGTGACCTGGGACGAGCTGGTCGACAGCTACAAGGACCAGGTCAAAGGGCTGGTTGACGGAGGCGTCGACCTCTTGATGATCGAAACCATTTTCGACACCCAGAACTCGAAGGCAGCGATCTTCGCAGTCGACGAGTATTTCTTAGAGTCGGGCAAGGAGCGCCTGCCAGTTATGCTTAGTGCCACCATTGTAGACAACAGTGGCCGCACGCTGTCGGGCCAGACGATCGAGGCATTCTACGTGAGCGTCAAGCATGCCAAAGCGTTCACCGTAGGCATCAACTGTGCCCTTGGGGCTGCGCAGATGAAGAAATTCTACAATATGCTCACGGACATGAACACTGGTTGGTGCCATGTCTACCCGAACGCAGGCCTTCCTAACGCCATGGGCGGCTACGATGAGGATCCGGAAATCTTCTCCACGAACGTGTACGACTACGCAAAGGATGGCTTGTTGAACTTCGTTGGTGGATGCTGCGGCACGTTCCCATCGCACATTGCTGCGGTGGTCAAGAAAGTGAAGGACTGCCCACCAAGGAAGCTTCCCGAGCTGCCGAAGTATCCATGCATGCAGCTGTCAGGGCTGGAGCCTTGTATCCTGAAGGAGGACAGCGGCTTCCAGTGGGTCGGAGAGCGGTGCAACTTGATGGGCTCTGCCAAGTTCAAGAAGCTGGTCGACGCCTACAAGTGGGACGAAGCTATGGAGGTCTGCCTGGCGCAGTGCGAGAAGAAGGCGGACATTTTGGACTTCAACTTCGACTCGGACTTGATCGACGGGCAGTCCGCGATGGGTAAGTTCATGCGTCTTTGCGTCACCGAGCCCAATGTGGCCAGGTTGCCGTTCATGATCGACTCTTCCAAGTGGCCAGTGATCGAGGAGGGGCTGAAGTGTGTGCAGGGCAGGAGCATTGTGAACTCCATCTCCTTGAAGGTCGGCGAGGAGGAGTTCCTGAGGCAGGCGAAGCTCTGCATGCGCTATGGCGCAGCCGTGGTCGTCATGGCTTTCGACGAGCAGGGCCAGGCGGCCACGCTTGAGGACAAGGTTCGCATTTGCCAACGCAGTTACAAGCTGATGCGCACCGAGCTGGATTTCCCACCTGAGGACATCATCTTCGACTGCAATGTGCTCACGATCGCCACAGGACTGCCGGAACATAACTCGTACGGCATCGACTTCATCAACGCAGTCGCTGAGCTTAAGCGAACCTGCCCGTGCATTTCGTTCAGCGGTGGCCTGAGCAATCTTTCGTTCTCGTTCCGCGGCCTCAACTCAGTTCGCGACGCGATGCACTCCGTTTTTTTGTACCACGCGGTCCCGAAGGGCTTGAACATGTCCATCGTGAACCCAGGCGGCCTTCCGCGGTACACGGACATCGACGAGAACACACGGAAGTTGTGCGAGGAGGTGATTCTGAACAATTCGGCGGACGGGCAGCATGTGGAGCGTTTCCTCGAGTTCGCTGAGAGAGTGAAGAACCCCCCGGCGGCGCCCGCAGCTGTGGCCGAGCAGCCCCTAAAGATCCAGAAGTCGACGCCCGAGCAGCAGCAGAGCTTCCTGAAGTCGCTCAAGTGCGAGGTGTCCTGCGAGGCGGAGCACGTGGTGCCAGAGCCTGGCGTCGCACCTCCAGACCCGTGCAGGAGGGAGGGGTCCATCGAGACCAGCAAGATCGCGGAGATGATCATCGCAGGGAAGACGCCGACGCCCTCCGAGGTGCTCGCGTACTTCAACGGGCAGCTGAAGGAGCGCATCTGCTTCCTGGATGGCGGCATGGGCACGCGCATCCAGGCGGAGAACCTGCAGGAGGAGGACTACCGGGGAGAGCGCTTCAAGGATTGGAGCGCGATCGATGCGAACGGCGTGCCAGTGTCTCTGAAGGGCAACAACGACCTGCTGATTTTGAGCAAGCCCGACATGATCAAGGACATCCACGCCGAGTACTTCAGGGGCGGCTCGGACATCTGCGAGACCAACACCTTTAACGGCACTGCGATTTCCCAGGGCGAGTACAAGATGCAGGAAGTCGTGTACGAGGTGAACAAGGTAGGAGCGGAGCTCGCCAAGAAGGCTGCCGCCGAGGTGACGAAGGACGAGCCGCACAAGCCTCGCTTCGTGGCAGGTGCCATCGGTCCCACGAGCCGCACACTGTCGGTGTCTCCAAGCGTCGAGGACCCGTCGTTCCGCAACGTGACCTGGGACGAGCTGGTCGACAGCTACAAGGACCAGGTCAAAGGGCTGGTTGACGGAGGCGTCGACCTCTTGATGATCGAAACCATTTTCGACACCCAGAACTCGAAGGCAGCGATCTTCGCAGTCGACGAGTATTTCTTAGAGTCGGGCAAGGAGCGCCTGCCAGTTATGCTTAGTGCCACCATCGTGGACAACAGTGGCCGCACGCTGTCGGGCCAGACGATCGAGGCATTCTACGTGAGCGTCAAGCATGCCAAAGCGTTCACCGTAGGCATCAACTGTGCCCTCGGGGCTGCGCAGATGAAGAAATTCTACAATATGCTCACGGACATGAACACTGGTTGGTGCCATGTCTACCCGAACGCAGGCCTTCCTAACGCCATGGGCGGCTACGATGAGGATCCGGAAATCTTCTCCACGAACGTGTACGACTACGCTAAAGATGGCTTGTTGAACTTCGTTGGTGGATGCTGCGGCACGTTCCCATCGCACATTGCTGCGGTAGTCAAGAAAGTGAAGGACTGCCCACCAAGGAAGCTTCCCGAGCTGCCGAAGTATCCATGCATGCAGCTGTCAGGGCTGGAGCCTTGTATCCTGAGGGAGGACAGCGGCTTCCAGTGGGTCGGAGAGCGGTGCAACTTGATGGGCTCTGCCAAGTTCAAGAAGCTGGTCGACGCCTACAAGTGGGACGAAGCTATGGAGGTCTGCCTGGCGCAGTGTGAGAAGAAGGCAGACATTTTGGACTTCAACTTCGACTCGGACTTGATCGACGGGCAGTCCGCTATGGGCAAGTTCATGCGTCTATGCGTCACCGAGCCCAACGTGGCGAAACTGCCGTTCATGATCGACTCTTCCAAGTGGCCTGTGATCGAGGAGGGGCTGAAGTGTGTGCAGGGCAGGAGCATCGTGAACTCCATCTCCCTGAAGGTCGGCGAGGAGGAGTTCCTGAGGCAGGCGAAGCTTTGCATGCGCTATGGCGCAGCCGTGGTCGTCATGGCTTTCGACGAGCAGGGCCAGGCGGCCACGTTTGAGGACAAGGTGCGCATTTGCCAGCGCAGTTACAGGCTGATGCGCGCAAAACTCGATTTCCCGCCTGAGGACATCATCTTCGACTGCAATGTGCTCACGATCGCCACAGGACTGCCCGAGCACAACTCGTACGCACTCGATTTCATCAACGCAGTGGCGGAGATTAAGCGCACATGCCCATGTGTCTCGTTCAGTGGCGGCCTAAGCAATCTTTCGTTCTCGTTCCGCGGCCTCAATTCGCTGCGTGATGCCATGCATTCCGTTTTCTTGTACCACGCGGTCCCAAAGGGCCTGAACATGTCCATCGTGAATCCAGGAGCCCTGCCACGGTACACGGACATTGATCCAAAGGCTCGCGCGCTGATGGAGGAGGTGATATTGAACAAGTCTGCCGACGGAAAGCACGTGGAGCGCTTCCTCGAGTTCGCCGAGCTCGTGAAGAACCCGCCCAAGGCTGCCGCAGGCCAGACGGGCGCCGGGCCCGCCGCGCAGAACGCGAAGGACGCGTGGCGCAACGGCACGTACACCGAGCGCCTGCACCACGGCCTGATCAACGGCATCGACAAGTTCATCGACGGGGACGTGGAGGAGGCGCGCGCAGACCTCAAGGTGCCGCTGACCGTCATCGAGGGGCCGCTGATGCAGGGCATGGGCATCATCGGGGACCTGTTCGGCGCCGGCAAGATGTTCCTCCCGCAGGTCATCAAGAGCGCCCGCGTGATGAAGAAGGCCGTCGCCTACCTGACGCCCTTCATGGAGGAGGAGAAGCGCGCTGCCGCGCTAGCCAATGGCGAGGACCCAGACCAGCCCAAGTGGAACGGCACCGTGCTGATGGCCACCGTGAAGGGCGACGTGCACGACATCGGCAAGAACATCGTGGGCGTTGTCCTCGGCTGCAACAACTACAGGGTCGTGGATATGGGTGTCATGGTGCCCTGCGAGAAGATCCTGGACAGGGCCATCGAGGAGAAGGTGGACGTCATCGGACTCTCCGGCCTCATCACTCCTTCCCTGGACGAGATGGTGTACGTGGCCGAGCAGATGAAAGTCAGGGGCATGAAGGTCCCGCTCATGATCGGCGGGGCCACGACGTCGAAGCGGCACACCGCAGTCAAGCTCGCCACCAAGTACGACCACGGTGTCATCCACGTGCTGGACGCGTCCAGGAGCTGTACCGTGGTGAGCAGCGTCCTGTCCAGCGAGAAGACCGCCTACCTTGAGGATATCCAGGACGAGTACACCGAGATCCGCGACGAGTACTATGCGACACTGATCGACAAGAAGTGGAAGTCGCTCGCCTTCGCCCAGAAGGCCAAGCCTACGATCGACTGGTCGAAGACGCCGCCGAAGCCGAAGTTTCTTGGCAACCTCTGCATAAAGAACCACCCCATCACTGAGATAGTCAAGTACATCGACTGGACGCCGTTCTTCCAGGTGTACCAGCTCCGGGGCAAGTACCCGAATCGCGACTACCCCGCCATCTTCAATGACCCGCGCGTGGGTCCGGAGGCCGAGAAGCTGTTTGCGGAGGCCAAGGAGATGCTCGACTGGATCGTGAAGGAAAACATCCTGCAGGCCACGGGCGTCGTCGGCATCTGGCCTGCGAACTCCGTGGGCGACGACATCGAGGTGTATACGGACGAGGAGCGCACCACCGTGGCGTGTAAGTTCTACGGCCTGCGCCAGCAGCTGGACATGGGGGAGGCCACGTACTGGTGCCAGGGCGACTTCATCGCTCCCAAGGGCGAGTGCCCAGACTACATCGCCGCCTTCGCGAACACCGGGGGACTCGGCTGCCACGAGCAGAGGAAGAAATTCGAGGACAATGGAGATATCGACAAGGCCATCCTGCTGGAGGCGCTTGCCGACCGCCTGGCGGAGGCCTTTGCGGAGCTGATCCACGAGAAGATCAGGACCACCCTCTGGGGCTACGCGCCTGACGAGAAGCTCTCGCTGCAGGACCTGCTCAAGGTGCGCTACCAGGGCATCCGGCCCGCGCCAGGGTACCCTTCGCAGCCCGACCACCGCGAGAAGAAGACGATGTGGGACCTGCTGGACATCGACAAGCTGTCCGAGGGCGCGTTGACCCTCACGGAGTCCTACATGATGCTGCCGGGCGCGTCCGTCTCGGCGCTCTGCTTCGCGCACCCGCAGGCGCAGTACTTCTCCGTCGGGCAGGTCAACAAGGACCAGGTGGAGGCATACGCCGCGCGCCGCGGCGAGGCCGACGTCGAGGGCACCGAGCGCTGGCTGGGCAGCACAGTGCTGGGCTACGAGAAGAAGTGAGCGAGATCGCCGCGGGAGCACGCGGCCTCTCTGCCTTCCTCTGCCCCCCGCTCGCTCGAGAAGATCCGCCTGCTCCTTCCCGAGCCCCCGTGGGCCCCTGGGGGCGGCGAGCTGCTTGGCATCGCTCGGACGCGTGCACTTTTCCTCGGCGAGAGCCATCGGGGAGCACCCTGGACCATCGAGCAACAGAACAACACACACACGCACGAAGCCGAAACGCGTGCACGGGGACTGGGCGTCCGAGCGACGGCAAGGCCTGCCACGGCCGCTGGCCCCCAGACGGGGCGGCTGCGCGGGATCTCGCGCTGGGCGCCCCCAGCGCCGTTGGCTGGGCGCCCCCAATACTACCCTATCCGGATGACTCGGGCTCTGCGACTTGCAGGGCCGCCTGCGGGCGGGCGCAGAAAATGAGCGAGGGGGCCACCGGCCTGCGGCCGCTTCGCCGCTCCTCAGCACACTCGACTCCTCCTGCTGCTCCTCCTGCTCCTCCTCCTGCCCCTCCTCCTGCCCCTCATCCTCCACCTGCCGCCTCTCCTCCTCCCACCCTGCTCCTTGTCCTCATCTTCCTCCTCCTCCTCCTCCTCCTCCTCCGCCTTCTCATGCCACCACCTGCCGCAATGGTTTGAACCAAATCCTCGTTCCCCTCCGGGAATCTTCGGGCGCACGCATGGCACAGGGCCCCAACCCTGCGCATCTGCGCAGGGCATCGCCATCTCCTCGTGTGCTGCGCGCCGCGGGGAGGGATGGGACGCGGAGACGCGGCGGAGAGGGGGAGCAGGCGAGCAGAGGCGCGATGGGTTCCCTAAGCGTGGGGCACGGGCCGCGGGATGAGGACCGAGATGGGCCGTCCTCTCTCCTCCTCCCTGCTCCTGTCACCCATCTTGAGCGGAGTGCCTCCCAGGTTCGGCCAGGTCGGTTCGTGACTCAGCTGCGTGGAGGCGTTGGAGAGATCGCACCCGCTGCGAGGGCTTCCATTGGGGCCTCCAGTCCGCTGGGGCTCCCGCAAGATCCGCGTGAAGGATGTGCCGAACTGGGCAGTGGGCCGGCATGCGAGCGCCCTCGCTGGGGCCGTAGGTGGAGCTCCCCATGTAGGCACGGTCTCGTGCGCTTGAGGGGTTGCCGAATTCGGCGAGACCCACATCTGGATGCTCCCGATGGGGCTGTAGGTCGAGGTCTTGATGGAGGCATGATCCGTGTGAGGGGTGGATCGAAGCATGCCGGCACCCTTGCTGTGGCCCCAGGTGGACCCCCTTGGGGGCACGACGCGCGTAATGGGTGTGTTGGGCGCGGGCCCGGGTGTGGGCACCCTCACTGGTGGGGCTTTCTACGGTGTAGTGATCAGCGTGAAAGGTGTGCCTCATTGAGCGTGAGCCCGGATGTGGGCACCCTTTCTGGGTTCGCAGGTGGAGCTTCGTATGGGAGAGGGGTGTGCCGAACTGGGTGCGGACCCGCATGCGGGCACCCTCGCTCGGGCCGTAGGTGGAGTCCCTCTGTGGGGGGCACGGTGCGCACGAGGAGTGCAGATTCGGGTGCGGGCCCGCACGCGGCTGCTCCTACTTCGGGGCCGTAGATGGGGTTCCCTACGGGAGCGCGATGGGTGTGTGTGTGTGTGTGTCCGCACGTGAGCACCCTCGCTGGGGCCGCATGAGGTTCTTTGCGCGATGCGCGCGTGTGTGTGAGAGAGAGAGAGAGAGTAGGAGGGGTGCGTGCGTGCGTGCGTGCGTGCGTGCGTGCGTGCATGTGTGCGTGCGTGCCTGCGACCGTGCGTGCGTGCGTGCGTACGTCCGTGCTTGCGTGCGTGCGTGCGTGCGTACCTGCGTGCGTGCGTGCGTGCGTGCATGCGTGAGTGAGTGTGTGTGTGTGTGTGTGCGTGCGTGCATGTGTGTGTGTGTGTGTGTGTGTGTTTGTGTGTGCGTGCGGTTGCTTTGAACATACCCGTCTGAGTGCTGCTTGAACCGTCGATTGCACCCCATCGGCCCGCTGGAGGAAAACTCCGCGTGCGCGTGTGTACGTAGGTGCGTGTGCGCGCGCGCGCGTGTGTGTATGTGTGTGTGTGTGTGTGTTGCGGTTCCCGTCCTGCCTTGTCACTCGCCCTTGCGGTCTCGGTTTTGTCGCCACTCTTGCGCCTCGTGTTGCCTCGCCTGCGCTGTAGGTTCTGGCCTTGCATTTTCTCGTCTTTCCCCCGCCGCGTCTTCCCCTTTCCCCCCGCATCCCTGCCCTGGGCCTGTGTATGACACGGTTGATCCACTTGAGGTGGTTCCCTGTCCTTCTCTTCTGAGTGGCTGGCCGCGTGCGTTTCCTGCTTCTCGCCCCTCGACCTTCTACGCCGCGTGAGGCCGCGACGTCAAAAAGGGTGTGTGGACCCCAACCAATACCGGACCACCGTTCCCAACGATTCCCTCGAGTCGTTCCGTCCATTGGATCAACCAGGCGCCCCCCCCTGGTGTAAGCGCAGCGCCTTCCGCGGTCTCTCGCGCCCCGGTCGCCCCCGCCCCCGGCCGCGCCCCTGCGGCCGCTGGTAGCCGACCTCTTGCTGCTTGCTCTGATGTTTAAGTGTTTTGTTTTTTTGTTTTTTTCCTCCTAGATGCGTTTTGTTTCTAGTTCTCAGCGAATTTTAAAAACGATGATGACCGTTCGTCTGGGCGACGCGTCCTGTTGTATTTGTTTTTCGGTTGCGTGCGACGTGCCGTGTTTCGTGGTTTGTTTTGTTTGAGTACGTCGCTCCAACTTGCGTTGTGTGTTTCGGTTTCACTACTGGGCAACTATAGCCGCGCGCGGGTGCTGCCACTGCATTCGCCGCGCGTTTGTTTTCTTGTTTGTTCTGTTCAGTTACATATCCTTTTTTGCTGCGGTGCCCCCTTTGGTGTTTCGGCGCCCCGTTTGGTTTTTCGGCGCCCTTCGGTTTCTCGCGGCGCGCATTGTTTTTCTGCTCCTTTTTTTTGGTTGTCGGCGCCCTTTGATTTTTTACGCGCCTTTCGGTTCCTCGCGGTGCGCATTGTTTTTTCGGCACCCTTGCTATTTTTCCGGCGCCGTGGGCTTTTTTTCGGTGCCCTTCGGCCATTCGCGGCGCGCATTGATTCTTTTGGGCGCCGTTGTTTTTTGTTCCGTCGCTTTTGGTTTCTTTTCGGCGCCCTTCGGCCACTCGCGGCACGCATTGTTTCTTCGGCGCCCTTGTTTTTTTTGGGGTGTGTGTGCCCTGACTTTTGTTCGGAGGCCTTCGCTTTTTCGGCGGCCTTTTATTTTTGCAGCGGCCTTTTTTTCGGCGGCCTTCTCTTTTCTCGGCGGCTTTAGTTTGTTTCGGCGGCCTTCGTTTTTGTGTTCGGCGACCTTCGCCTTTTCTCGTTTTTTTGTGTGTTTGTTTGTGTTGTTTTGCTTTTTTTTTGTTGTTGTTTCTTTTTTTTATGTTGTTCTTATTTTTTTTCGGCGGCCTTCCCTTTCTTTGGCGGTCTTTGTTTTTTGTGGCGGCCTTCGCTTTTTTCGGGGGCCTTCGGTTTCTTAGGCTGCCTTCGATTTTTTTTTTGACGGTTCCGCTTTTTCGGTGGCCGTCATTTTTGTTCGGCGACTTTTGTTTTTTTGGGCGGCCTTCGAATTTTTCTGTGGCCTTCGCTTTTTTCGGCGGTCTTCGCTTTTTTCGACAGCTTTCGCTTTTTTTTTTAGCGGCCTTCGTTTTTTCCGGCGGCCTTCGCTTTTTTCAGCGGCCTTCGTTTTTTCGGCGGGTTCCGTTTTTTTTTCGGTGGCCTTCGCTTTTGTTGGCAGCCGTCGCTTTTCCGGCGGCCTTCGCTTTTTTCGGCGCCCTTTGCTTTTTGTTTGGTGGCCTTCGCTTTTTTCGGCGGGTTTCGCTTTTTTCGGCGCCCTTTGCTTTTTTTTTCTCCAGCGGCCTTCACTTATTTCGGAAGCCTTCGCTTTTTTACGGCGCCCTGTGCTGTTGGTTCGGCGGCCTTCGTCTTTTTTTCGGCGGCCTTCGCTTTTTCGGCGGCCTTCGCTTTTTTCAGCGGCCTTCATTTTTTCGGCGGGTTCCGTTTTTTTCGGCGGCATTCGCTTTTTTTGGTAGCCTTCGCTTTTTCGGCGGCCTTCGCTTTTTTCGGCGCCCTTTGCTTTTTGTTTGGTGGCCTTCGCTTTTTTCGGCGGGTTTTGCTTTTTTCGGCGCCCTTTGCTTTTTTTCTCCAGCGGCCTTCACTTGTTTCGGAAGCCTTCGCTTTTTTACGGCGCCCTGTGCTGTTGGTTCGGCGGCCTTCGTTTTTTTTCGGCGGCCTTCGCTTTTTTCGGCGGCCTTCGCTTTTTTCGGTGGGCTTCGCTTTTTTCGGAAGCCTTCGCTTTTTTTGTTCAGCGGTCCTCGTTTTTTCGGCGGCCTTCGCTTTTGTTCGGCGGCCTTCGTTTTTCTGTTGGTTTTCGCTTTTTTTCGACGGTCTTCGCTTTTTTCGGCGGGTTTCGCTTTTTTCGGCGGCCTTCGTTTTTTTTCGGCGGCCGTTGCTTTTTTCGGCGTGTTTTGTTTTTTTCAGCGGACTTCGCTTTGTTCTGCGGCCTTTGCTTTTTTCGGCTGCCTTCGCTTTTTTCGGCACCCTTCGCTTTTTTCTGCGGATTGGTCTTTTTCTCAGCGGGTTTCGCTTTTTTCGGCGGCCTTCGCTTTTTTTCTGCGGATTTCGATTTTTCGGCGCCCTTTTATTTTTTGGGCGCCCTTTGCTTTTTTCAGGTGGCCTTCGCTTTGTTCGGCGGCCTTCGCTTCTTTTCGGCGGCCTTCGCTTTTGCTGTCGGTTTTCCTATTTGTCGGCGGCCTTCGCTTTTCTCAGCGGCCTTCGCTTTTTTCTGCGGGTTTCGCTTTTTTCGGTGGCCTTCGCTTTTTTCGTCGGCCTTCGCTTTTTTCAGCGGCCTTCGCTTTCTTCGGCGGCCTTCGATTTTTTCGGCGGCCTTCGTTGTTTTTCGGCGGTCTTCGTTTTTGTTCTTCGGCCTTCGTTTTTTCCGTCCGGTTTCACTTTTTGTGGCGGCCTTCGTTTTTTTCGTCG